CCGCTCCGTCCTCTCCGCGCGCCCGCGGCCTCCCACGCAGGCCCGGAGCCCCTGCCCCGTCTCCTACCTAGTGTCGTCGGCCACATTCCTGACGAACAGAGACGTGTTAGGGGGGCGCAGATAGCGGGACATGACGGCGGCGTCACTCTCGACCTGGAGCACTAACGGGCTCGGCAAACCGTCCGCGACTACAGCGGCGGCACCGCAGACACACAACCAGAGGGCTCCGCTAAGGCAACCACCTCTTCTCGCGAGACTTCGCTCCCGCCTCCACTCCTCCCCACACCTCTACGCAGACCTTGCATCGGCGACGGTTGGTTCTCGCGAGATTACCAGTCGTGCGCCTGCGCACGCAGAGGGTTGGAGCACGCTCCGCAGCCTCGGTATCATTCATTGGCTCCTGACACTGCCTCTTCCCCTCCCCCTCAGCCGCTCTTTCTTTCTTTAGCTTCATTTTCCCGCCCTTTTCTGCATTGCAGCTCCCCTCCCCCAGCTCAAGCTGATGTTTTAGACTTAATGAGAGGTTTTTAAAAAACCTGTGGAAATTTTAATCTGATGTTACTACTTACTACATTTAAACAAATATGATCCAACACAGTAGGAGATACCTTAAACTCCAGCCCCATGTTTAAACAGAAGCCTTTAAGAAGAGAAAAACGCTATCTTCATGTGCCACACAAAAAAATCGGAATATCAAATCTATAGAGATTTTGCTCATATCCTGTACTTTATATTAACTCTACTCTCAGAACAAAACTTAATAGTTAACACCATCACTTTAATCTGTATTAGGTGATCATAATTTTTTCATTTTTCCTTTGTTTTCTGAGGTAGAGTCTCACTACACAGTTCAGCTTCATTCCTCTTGCCTCAGCCTCAGAAAGTCCCAGGATCACAGGCTTGTACCACTGTGCATAGCAGTAACATTCCTTTTATATGTATCAAAACTCATACAGAACCATGAGTTATGAGTTGCAAAAGCGGATTTATTTTTTGCACCGGTCCATTAAGTTTAAGTACACAAACTAAGACAAAAATACAAGTGCCAGCCGGGTGTGGTGGTGCACGCCTGTAATCCCAGCACTCCGGAGGCTGAGGCAGGAGGATCATTGTGAGTTCCAGACAAGCCAGGGCTATAAGGTGTGCTCAAAGCCAGCTTGAACTGCATAGGGATACACTGTCTCAACAAACAAACAAATAAACAAGAAAACCCACAAGAGCTAGAGAGGTTTTTAAGGCATTATAATCTGGAGGATCACACTAAAATTCACACTAAAATGTATTAGGTGATCATAATTTTTTCATTTTTCATTGTCTGGTCCAAGTTATGTCCAGGCTTTAATTAGATCCTTGACTAGAATAAGAAATTTTTACAGCTCCTGTTGTGTGTGCAAAGAAAGTTGTGTGACCTTGCAGAGGCCTGGGCCCGACTCCCCAGCGCTTCCTGCAAGTCCCGGCCCACACTCCTTCCTTGTGCCTTGCCAGAGGAATGAAGTCTCTGATACCTCCACTGTCCCTGAAGTTTCCTCCTCAGAAAAAGCCTATCCACACTTTCAGTCTCGGGCTTTATTGTGTATACTAAATTTGTTGCCAATGGCTTCCAGTGTGCAAAGTTCCCATATTGCAGGACTTTTATTTTTGTTGTTATTTTTTCGGTCCTAGGGATCTAACCTAGGCCCATTCTTATGCTAGGTAAGCACTCTACTACTGAGCTACATACTTAGCATCCCTTCTCCCCTTTTAATGTGAGTTATAATATTTACTGAATTAAAATTTACAGTGGAAAAATTCTATTTATTTATTTATTCTTTTTTTTTTTTTTGAGACAGGGTCTCACTACGCAGTTCAGAAGAGATTGGGCATGTTCAGGGTGATATGGCCGTAGACTCACTATGCAGTTCAGGCTGGTCCTGAGCTCAATCTGTAGCCCAGGCTGGTCTCAACCTTACAA